TACGTATAAGCTTTTATCGATTTAAATGATCTGTTTCCTTGGATCTATCTCATTTGAGTTCAGTAGCCATGCCATGAAATGTATTTTGGTCCTGACTTTACCTAGATACAAAGGATTGGGAGCCTAAAATAGATTTAAGGTCAGAGAGAATTCATGAACATAAAAGTAATAAAAACAAAGACAGGTTGTATGTATGACTGTGACATAATAATAAGGGTCTAGCATAATCCAATTTATGTATTCAGTGTTCCTATGATATCTGAGGTATTTTATTGAATAATCTAATATTCCTGTCAAAGTTACTTTCATTTATGGAACAAGTCTCTGGTTTTTTGTGAGTAAAATTATTTTTTAAAGAGATCACACCCATGCTCTTTCATATAACAAAACTTTTAAATTTCCTATCCTCTGTTTAAAAATCAGCAATTTCTTCTTTATGACCTTGAACACAATCTCTGCAGCTGTAAATCCCCTTCTAAGAGGAACCAGAGCTATAAAACCTCTTCTAATCGGAATCAAAAATGTAGTAACGTTTTTGTTCTTGTAAGCCTGGGTCCTAATTACAGGGTAAATGGTGCATATTCTAAGTCACAGTTTAGCTAGTCACTTAAGAAAAGCTTTAATTATTACAATGTTGAACTATTGCCATGACAACACAGATCTTCTCTTTTCTTGCTTTTCCCCCTCCTCTTTTAGAATGATGGGGATTAGTGGCTATGTAACCAACCACGGTGCCAGGCATTCCTGCTCATCCTTCAAGCCTGTGATGGCAACATTCACGTACTGTAGTAGGGGAAGAGCGCGGGACTGGGGTCCCACTGCAGGCTGGCCTCAGGTGCCCACATAGGGAAGGAAAGGCTGCACTCATCACTACATGTGTTTGAACTTCATTTTTCTCATCCATAAAGCAGTCCTTTTCTAGTTTTTGTAAAATAAAATAACATTATAGATGACTTTGAAAACAATAATCTTTGGTACTGCTATTTATTATTATTGTTAGAATTCAGGATACAAGAAGTCAAGGTGCAAACATCATAACGAACTCTAGTTTTGACAAGGTCAAAACCAGGGTTCCTGTTTGGGGGGTACATATAAAATCATCCCCGTGTGAGGGTGTACAGGACTAGAGAGACCCTTAGAAGTGCTCATTTCTTAGCCCCTAACAGTGCTCATAACCCTTTCTTTCAGTGTCTGTATCAACTATTAAGTCAACTTTAGATGCTTTTCAGAAATCAGAGGGCAAAGGCAAAAATATCCTCAGCAATATTCTACATACTTATCCATCATATTTAAAAGGAACCCATGTCTTCTTGTCTTCATATTAAAAACTGCCCTGGAAATGATTATCATATATTAGAAATTATAGCCCCACTTTCTAGGTAAGGAGGCTCAAATGGTAAGCAGAAGTCAAGTTTCTGGTAAACAAAGTTTGCATTATTTGTTTCCTGTTTTATCCCATGTAATTTGAAGCAAGGACAAGAATGATTCATTTACTACACAACTGTGTGAGCTTATGTCATGTAAGGCACTATACATATGAAGACAAAGTTGTATAAAGCGCCACAGCAGAGTTTGTTTTCGTTAGTACAATGGATTTTAAAAAATAACTTGTGGACCTCCACATTCTTGGTATCTTCTCTGGATGTTCCCGGCTTATTGCTTGGAGGAAACCTGACTCTTCCCAAGTGCCGCCTCTCCCTCCGTAGTCCTCTCCT